CACAAATCAAGTCTAACATGAATTTATAACGTGATTAAGAATTGAATATTTTGTTTCAGTTCCACTGACATTAAGCTTTACACAAAGTTAAAGTTTCTCATACCGAAGATGTAATGCAGACAATCGAGATCTCAATTTGTTAATATTTTATTTCCGTGACAACTTATGAGTTTCTAGTTAATTAAATACAAAAACTCTTAAAATATAAGTCCTCTTCTAAATAAACTAAAATCGGCAGAAGCAAGAAAGGCACAGAAACCATGAATTTTTCTGTAGTTGACGATGGTATTTAAAATGCTGCATATACAATACAACATTCCATTCTGTCCTGAAATTTCCATTTTAGTTCGTTTATACAGCTACAAACTAACAAAATGCCCCCCAGTGGCACAGCGGTATGTCTGTGGACTTACACCGCTAGAAACCGGGTTTCGATACCCGTGGTGGGCAGAGCACAGATAGCCTATTGTGTAGCTTTATGCTTAATAACAAACAACAAACTCATACTAAAAGAAGCTATATTGTGTCCTACACAAATGATAAAAACTCTTCGGGTATCTAATTTCAAGTTTACTAATCTTCAAAGAGAGAAGTTAGTTAGTGATAGAAAAGTTGAGTAGAACTAAGACAATGCGTTTGATAGACAGAGCAGAGGTTTATCTGTTCATATACCTGTAGAAAGAGAAGAAACTGCATTTGGAAGGTTACCCACACTTTCATGGCCGGAAACGGGTGGCATTGAGATGTTCATCATGTCATTGGTATAAATGTACTGACTAGGCGGACTAACAACAGGCTTGCTGCTATTAACACAGGCCTCCAACCACGAAATTGAGCGAATCACGTCACATATGGCTGTCCGAACCTAGCAAGAACAAAACACTACTATAGATATATTTTGCGATTTAAGAGAATTCACGAATTAAAAATCTTAGCAGGTTCTAAGTCTACTAATATGTAGGTTCTACTGTGGAAGTAAACTACATTGTGATTTCAGTGCCATTTTATTTCCAATTATGTACCAATGCTGAGTAAAGTGATAATACTTATTCATTACCTGAGCTTCCACTACGCAATAGAAAATAAACAGTAAAACTCCTTGCAAACTGTTACTGACTGCAAATACATATATCGTGATTGTCGAAGTGTCATACAGGTACCACAGACAAGAGGACCACGTTAAACTCAGCACTATCAGCACACACATGGAGTTGGTACACCACGCTCTGAAAATAAGAAATATTAGTCTAGCAAAATAAACCAAAATCTATGTTATTAATAGATAATTAGAAATATGATTCATTTAATACTAGAAATAAACGACCATACAACACCAAAATGTTGTTTTTATTTCATTAAAACTCAACGTTTCGCTTTACAGCTTCCTCAAAAGCGTTGACTAAAACACAAACCAAAACTGACAGTACAAAACTTCAAATGATTTAAATCATAATTATTATACTAGATATTAATGGATACTTAACCAGCACCTACCGACTGATCATTCCAAGGTACTAATCTAACGCTCGTCTAGCACCTACCGACTGACCATTCCCAGGTACTAATGTAACGCTCGTCCAGCACCTACAGACTGACCATTCCCAGGTACTAATGTAACGCTCGTCCAGCACCTACCGACTGACCATTCCCAGGTACTAATGTAACGCTCGTCCAGCACCTACCGACTGACCACTCCCAAGTACTAATAATAATCATTATTTAAACCATTTGAAGTTTTGTACTGTCAATTTCGGTTTGTGTTTTAGTGAACACTCCTGACGAAGCTGTAAAGCGAAACGTTGAGTTTTAATGAAATAAAAACAACATATCGGTGTTATAATGTCGTTTATGTCCAGTATTAATATGCCTACTATACACTAATATGCATTACAGAAATTTAATATGCTTCATTACCAAATACAATTCTGTCAAACTTTTATAAGAACATTTTGATGTAAAATTTTCAATACAGAAAAAGAAACTGATAAACCTGACAAAGACAATTAACTTGTAGAAAAAGTACGAAAGTACAGAATTGATAGTACGTCTAAAACTCTCGTATACATGTACAAATCCCAAAGTTTATATACCTTAGTATGCTGTTTTTAACGCCATCTTTGTTTTTACTAGCCACTGCTGAATCCGGCCTTTGAGAGATGCGATGATAAACAAAAATCAAAAGAACAATGGAGGCCTGAAAAAGTCACAAGTTTAAAAAAAGATAGTTCTTGTTTTTTTCAACTGTTCTACGACTAGTTTTGTTTACCTATGAAAAATAAACACCAATGACAAACCATTGTATTTTTACCTCGCTCTTAAATATCTTTTACTAAAGTTATTTCAGCACCTTTTACTACTGACAGATTGTCTTCAACCTATCTTACTTTAGTATAAAGTGTATTATAAGACCAACATACTTATTCTTATGCTAACTTACATAGATCTTATGGCTATCAAGTGTGTATTGCACCGATATATTTTATAATTTTAAGTACAGTATTAGGTATATTTATTTTTAGCTATAGTTCATGATTACACAAATTTAACCTATTAACTCAGAGATTACTTGATTGAATTATTATTTAATGCTTGTCAGAAAATATGTTTAACATTAAATCATGGAGCGTGTGTACGACAGTTATTGCTAGCTGATGATTCTAACAATACTTCGCGATCACATCCACAGATCATTCATCTTACTGCGCGGCCCGGCATGGCCAAGTGGTTGTGGCGCTCGACTCGCAATCTGAGGGTCGCGGGTTCGAATCCCTGTCCCACCAAACAGGCTCGCCCTTTCAGACGTTGTAATGTGACGGTCAATCCCACTATTCGTTGGTAAAGAGTAGCCCAAACGTTGGCGGT